TTTCTTTTATTTAGGAAAGCATCAAATTGGCAAAGTCCGTGGTAATTCTTTCCTAAATAAAAGAAATTGTCTTGGAAGATGGACTTTGTTCTTTTCTTTTTAAATGGATTTCATCACTTGGAAACCTGACAGTAGGAACTTGAGATTGCGATCATTCTTGATCAGAAATAGTTAAGGTGATGCCTGATTTGAATAACTCCCATTAAACTCGATGACCAGGGAAACTGTATCAACCTTCTATTACTGAACTGTAAATTAGAGCTACCTCTGATGATAGCTACAATTCAGAAACATCCGCAGTGCTACAGGTTCCTCAATTCCCCTACACTTTTGCACTGGAAATTAGTTTTAGAAGCATCAGTAAAATTATGGGCAGTTGCAAACAATATAACAAATTCGATACCTATGCAGGAATTGTCATAAAGAACCTGGCCCTTCCACCCCTGTATATAATCAAACGTTACAGAAGAAAGCCTTTCCTTTACTCTAAAAGCCAGAAATAGTTGTGTGATAAATACACTAAGAAAGTGAGGGGTTTTTTGTGTGTGTGTGTGAAAATTCTTACTAGGGGAACTTTCGGATGAGGTCCTCACTAAGCAGACGTCCAAATGATGCCACCACGCCAACGTCAAAATTCTCCCGTGCCCCTACATCAGGCCAGATGTGGATGGGGAGCTGCAGCTGCTCTGCATACTTCTTCACAGGGAGTACCTTTGAGTGACTGGGGGGCAAGGTTACCACCTCCAGGTGATCCACAATCTGATCTGGCCTTGGCACTCTGCCCTTGCAGGGAGAATAGAAGAAAAACTTTATTGTCACTTTAAATGTACACTAATCCGCATACAATAAAATGAAATTTCATTGCATTTCGCTCACAAAAATCTATGGAGATTTTCAGTCATCAGGTCATGGTTGTCCCAAAGGTGCTTTTTTATCCAAGAGGCAACTGGACTTCCTTATTTTTCTTTGAAAAAGAAGAACAAGAAAGTCCAGTTCCCTCTTGAAAAAAAGAGCACCTTTGGGACGAGCTTTCAAAAGATAACCTTTATGCATATACCCACATTATAAGTCACATGGCACAAGGAACAAAACTGTTACAGAACCTAGTTGTCCTGCTATAGATACTTTGAAATCCCTGCCCAGAGGGGAGCAACAGAAACAGGCCATGAAGTGGGTGTGTTGGGTCCCTAACAATGTTTCGAGCTCTAAGGACATGGCGCTTATAAGCAGCATCCTGAATAACAGGAAGCGAGCTTCTCATAATACTCTCCGTTGTCCTCATCACTCTCTGTAGGGACTTTCTATCTGAGCATTGCTGCCACCAAACCAAACAGGGATGCATTTTTAAAAAAACGCTCTCAATCGTGCCTCTGTAAAAAGTAGCCAGGATGTTAGGAGAAAGATATGCTCTCCTCATCCGTCACAGGAAATGCAAACACTGGTTTGCACGCTTCACTAAAGATAACAGATGAAGAGGCCAAGTCAGATTGTTCATTGTCTGCTCCCCCAGATACTTAATACGTCTGACCACCTTCACAGCTGTAGCAGCACATGACATCCTTTAAAAAGACTTAAATATTAAATCCACTATTTTAATTGGATTGCCAAAGAAAGATGGGAAGCTGCATTTTATCACAAAGAAGCGCTTATTTTAGGAACCTTTATGAATTCACTTGGAAATGTAGGGAACCTTACATTGCCCATTACCCAGACCCAGAGTTCAATGGAGTTTCTATAATCAAAGCAAGTGTTCTACACACTGAATTTCAATTCCTATCTGTGCTCTCCTATGGCCTTGTCAGTGGCTTATAACTCTGCCACTGACATATTGCCTTTGCTCTTCAGGGATATGAGGGTTTTCATGTCATATTTAGAGCATGCATTATGACTGTGAAGATTTTAAGTTTTGGATCAAGCATCTTCAACTGGAGAAAGTCAAGGCTGTTAGAGAAAAGAAAACCTTCTAGTATGCCAAATAAATTAGCCAATAGTGGGATTAATGGATAAGCAGTTCTGTCAGGTCTAAGTCAACATCTAGAGTTCCCTCCTACAATTCAAATACAACCAGGAAAAACTTTCTTATGCAATCATCCATCTCTAACTTGTATGTTTAACCAGTATCATAACAAAATCACAACTGGATGGGTGGATTCACTCAGGAAAATACTATGGTTTATAAGGCTTATTTGCCTAACTGGAAGAAACACCAACTCAAAAATCCAACCAATAATTTGGTTAATCAGTAGGTGTGAACCCTGTCAAAAGTTACAGCGAAAGTCCAGGTGCAGTCATCTTTCACCTGGAACCCCCAAAGTTAGCATCTCTTTTGGGTCAAGTTACCTTCCAAATCAACAGTAGCAAAAAGCTGTAAGCTATTTGCTATTGTTTTCTTCCGCTCCCAGCTTAAAGTTGTGTATTTGCTGACGCTCTTCCATCCCTATTTTAGCCAAGTTCAGCCCTGCTGGGCTAAGAACCAGCCAAGGTTGGTCAGGGACTACCACCTGCTGTAGATTTGGTACTCAATTAAGAATAAAAGGAGTGGAAGGGGTGGGATTTTGGTTTATTAAGATAAGCAGGGTTTTGGCACTCTTATTCTGTTGACCCCACTCAACTGCTTGCAGCCCTGTTTCCCAACCTCAACAGCTGTCAGATGCTGGAAACCAAGATGGAATTAACCAGGGCTCATCTAAATCTAAGCAGACAGCAAATATAATACTGGCTTGTTCTTTGTGTCCATGGAGATTCTCAGTCATCCAGGTCATGGTTGTCCCAAAAGTGCTTTTTCAAAAGGCAACTGGACTTTGGTTTTTTTTTTTTCCCTTGAAGATGTTTCGCTTCTCACCCAAGAAGCTTCAATTCTTCTTGGACACTTTCAAGGAAAAACAAGAAAGTCCATTTGCCCTTTGGAAAAGCAACTTTGGGTTGTGTGGACTTCCACTCCCAAAATTCCCCAGCCATCCATTATGTATTTTGTTTGCATATATATATTTTATTCATAAACATTTTGAATACAGTGTATAGTCAGGGTGTATCCTTTACAGAAAAACAAACAACAAAAAGAAATATTAACACTTATCTAATAACAATAGTAATAGTGTAACAAAATAGTTTTAACTAGATTTCTCTTTATATTAGCTTATTTGTAATTCTGTTGGTTATGTTGGCATATTTATAATTATAAACCATCCTACCCTCAAAATGCTATAGAGCACTGCACACTAGAATAATTAGACACAAGGACAGGTTTTTTCCAAATGCTAAACAAATAATTCCCTCAACACTGTCCAACAATAGTCTGCATTACTACTATTATTAATCCTCCCATCCTTCCTTTCACCCATCTCCTCCCACTTATGACTGTATGACTGTAACCTTGTTGCTTGTATCCTAATGATTTTTATTGTTTCCTAGTATGATTCGATTGCTTATTGTACCCTATGACTACCATTAAGTGTTGTACCTTATGACTCTTAACGAATGTATCTCTTCTTTTATGTACACTGAGAGCATTTGCACCAAGACAAATTCTTTGTGTCCAACCACACTTGGTCAATGAAGATTTCTATTCTATTCTAAACATGGTCATGACTATCACTAAGTGTTGTATCTCATGATTCTTGGTGAATCTCAGTATTTTATTTTTTCTTATGTACACTGAGAGCATATGCACCAAAGACAAATTCCTTGTGTGTCCAATCACCCTTGGCCAATAAAGAATTCTGTTCTGTTCTGTTCTATTATTCTATTCTATTCTATTCTATTCTATTCTATTCTATTCTATTATTATTCTATTCTATTCTATTCTATTCTATTCTAATCTATTCTAAACATGGTCATGACTATCACTAAGTGTTGTATCTCATGATTCTTGGTGAATCTCAGTATTTTATTTTTTCTTAGGTACACTGAGAGCATATGCACCAAAGACAAATTCCTTGTGTGTCCAATCACCCTTGGCCAATAAAGTGTTCTGTTCTGTTCTATTCCTCTATTCTCTATTCTCCTCTACTGTTTCAATCCATCCCATTCCATTCGTCTATTCTCTGATTCAATTCTATTCTATTCAGTTCATACATAGCAATCATCATGGCTGACTGGGGGATTCTGGGAGTCGAAGTCCACACATCTCCCAGCTGCTGAGGCGTGTGGGGGGGGGCGCACCGGGCTTGGAGCGACCCCCGACATCCTCCTCCCCTGTCTTATCCCCTCGCCCCCCCACCTCCCCTTGGGGCTCCTCCACCCGAAAGACCCACCGGGCTGCCTGGAGCGCTCGGAGGATCTCTGCGGAGAAGTGATCGGTGCCAAAGAAGAGGATTCGCCAGGGGGGCTTTTCGCGCCTCGGGGCCTCCCCCGCGGCGGTCGCGCGACCCCTACCCCACCCGCCCCGCCAGGCTCGCAAGAACCGCGCGCTCATCGCCGCCCCCGGCAGCCGCTTCCGCATTCCCCTTGGGCGTCGCGCCCTGATGACGTAGAAGGGTTTGAGCGACCATTACTTTCCGTCCAAGCGAGCTCGCCGCGAGGGCTTCTGGGATTGCTCGAGCCCGGGGAAGTTGCCGCGTAGCCATAGCAACCGGGGGCTCGCCGTATCCATGGCGACCTCTGGGAGCCTTGCTGAGGCGCGTCAAAGCAGCCACGTTCGGACAACTCGCTTGAACTAGTGACGGGAGCTCCCTCTTTTCTGGATTCCCACAAAGATTATGCACCAGTTGCTATTGTTCACCCAATAAATACAATGAGCCACAAATAAACTAACCAGGGTTTAACACAGAATTGGTTTAGTCTGCAGACAGAAGACTAGCCATTGGTTAGCAGCTGGAGTGTTAATGCCTCTTTGCAACATGTTAGTGTTAATGCCTCTGTCCAACTGCTGCATTGCACTGCAGGCAGAAATTAAACAGGGAGAACTTTAGAACTGAGCATAAGGTGCTGTCTATTGTTTCTTCCTAAAAGTTTTGCGACCTGCAGGAATAGTTTGCAGCATTTGGATTTTTTTTCCCATCAAGAAAGAGTTTGATTCCTCCAGCCCCGTTTAAAAAGAAATTACTTTGGTTAGACAGATGGCAGTGATGATTATGGTGAATCTTGAAGAGGGGTAGATATTATAAAGGTTTATCCTGTGTTTAATGTTGGTGCACCTGCATTTAAATTATAGGTCTGTTTCATGCAAATAAGGAATTGAGAACCAGAGTAATAACTGCACACTTTATGATTTTATGATGTCTACTTTTTTTACATTATTTTCTAAAACAAAATGACCACACTGCAGATCTTTGGGAACTATTTGTAATCTTAAGCATAAAAAACCCCTGTACCCTGTTTTGAAATAGTTTTAAATTACCTGGCAATTTATGAGTACATTATAAAACTATAGTTAAAAACGGTTGCTTATCTCCATTATAGAATGCCAATGTCTCTTGGTTATAAACTAATAAAAGAAACAAATGAATTCATGTTGATTTCTTTTTTTTAAAAAAAAAGATAACTTAATGTCAAAAGACGTGACCTGAAGTGCAATCCTAGATATGCATCCTCAGATATAAAAGCTACTGAGTATGATGCATATATGATTACAACAACCCTGGTTACTCTGTAACCAAGAGCCTAGGTTAAAGACCCTGCAAACAGAAGAGTTTCAAGGACTGATAAAGCAAAGTAAATATACTAAATGCACATTGTACTTTCTTCTGAGGCATATCAAGGGCAAAAGTGGACAGAAGAAAAACCACCAAAGATTTTCTTGGCAGGATTCCTGCTGCTTAGTCAAGCACTAAGGAAATGCAGGGCAGAATTTGCAGCAGGCTCTGATTGTAGATCTGAGAAAAATAGAAGGCGAAATGGATCAAAATGTGTATAACCTTCCACCTGTCTTCTTGAATGAGGTAACATGAATGGAGCTTATCAGGGAAAAGACCTAACTGTGCTGTTGAATATACGTATCTCTATGCTGATGTCACAATTACTCCATTGACAGTTTTCTAGTCAGAAATAAAGGCATTCAGCAAAATAATATAATCTTTGAGGGCTGTTTTGAGGGTTTGATGGTTGATTCAGCCTTCCATCCTTCCAAGGTCAGTAAAATGAGGATGCAGATTGTTGAGGGCACAAGTTGCTGACTCTGTAAACCACTTAGAGAGGGCTGTAAAATACCATGAAGTGGTGTATAAGTCTAAGTGCTATATTGCTATTGCTATTTGCACAGTGGCCTCATCCTATCAAGTCATGAAAAACATAGCAGGGAAATTCTTTTGCACAGCTTCCAGTTTTTTAAGGAAGGCCTTGTGGTCAACTCTCAGTCCATTCTGCTTCTCTTCAGATCCTTCCCACTGAACTGAGATTCTCTGCACCATTCCTCAAACTGGCATAAAATTGGCCATGCTCCTTGCTCAGAGTGCCTGCATCCAATGGTCTGAAAAGTTAAGATGGCAGCTGCAATGGTGCCATTTCTGCTAGTATAAAATGATAGTTTTTGGGAAGGCTGAAATCTTTTTTTTTTTTTGGCTATTGAATGACATGGGAGTGAAGGACCCACTCTGAAACCTTCATTGGGGAACAGACAAGTGATGAAATATCATCCTTTCATCATGATGTAAATTACCCCTTATGCATTTGTGATGAAGATACAAACTAATGAAGCTTGCACTGTGATGTCACAATGCACATTTCAGGATTTTGGCATCACTTGGGTTAGGAATGGAAACCAACAATAGATATATGATATTTTTTTTATTTTTTTTTATTAAATTTTTATCTTGCCCCTCTCACCAAGGCGACTCACCTTTAAATAAAATGATGAAAGCAGTTCCGTTCTTTGGACATGCTAGGACACTGTGACATGTACAAAAGGAGTGGGCATTGTATCATGATGGCACAGTGCTGCTTTCATCAAACATTAGTTTGACACACAAACATACCCCTGCACCCATGAAAAATACTGGATGGATGATAGATGGATGGATGGATAAACAGATAAAGATAGATAGAGGTAGATATAGAGATAGAAAGGAGATAGATAGAGAGAGCATGTGTCTAAAGAAATGGAGATAATTTTTTGTCAAATAAAATCTAGCAGCTCGTTCTGGAACATCTTAAAAGAGAAGTGGAACAAAGTCTCAAAGGGAAAACTATGTGTCTAGCTATGGGCTGGTGGCATGCTTTCATTTTTGGGAAAAAATGTCATTGGTAATAATGGCATTCATGTTAATTAAAGACAAACTTTCAGAAGAGGAATGGCCTTTTCTGCATGTGGCATTTTTTGGACCAAGACAGAATCACGAGTCTCCCTTCTGACAAGCAGCCAAGAGGCTCTGATTGGGGAAAAGTTCACTCACCTTTGGCGGAAAGTTGCATGGGTGTGACGGGTGTGGAGACTTTGAAAATGCCCTTTCCCTGGGTTACAAGTTCTCTTAGCTGCAAGAGAGGGCAACAAATGGCCGCATCCTATCAGTTACAGCATCTGAAGGGGTGAATGCCATGGTTCTCCCAGCCTGCCAGATGTTCTGAATGCTGCACGGGATCGCATCTTGCTGTCTTCCATTCATCTGGGCCAAGCTACGTATCTTTTGGTAAGGTTTTTTTCTTCTTCTTCAAGATTGGACAAGTAGAGCAAAAGGAAGCTAAGAACGTTTATGGGGCCAGGAGGACAATGACTAGATTTTAAAAGAGAGGGGCGAGGGAGAGGGAAGCGTAACTTTTGTGCCAGGTGTGTGAAAAGTCCTGAGACGAGCTTTTGGGTTCGCTGCTCATGCTTGGAAATATTTTTGATTTCCTCTCCTTTCACCTGGGTCTGTGGCTCTGTCACTTTCAGGGAAATTTGTCTCCTTTCAAATTCAGATTCATCCCTAGGGCTCCTTAGAGAAGGAATGGGTACAAGGCATATTAATATGCATCATCTAAGTGATTGAAAGACCAGCTAAGCACCTGGTAAGCACTGTTCACCAGCTTCAGATTTTCCAAGGGGAAAATGTATCTCTCTTTCTTTCTTTTTCTTTCTTTCTTTCTCTTTCTTTCTTTCTCTCTTTCTCTCTTTCTCTCTTTCTTTCTTTCTTTCTTTCTTTCTTTCTTTCTTTCTTTTTCTTTCTCTCTTTTT